AGTTTCCCGTTTGATTTCGAGAAATGAAACCGGCAGCGCACGAACCGTTTGAGATATCTGCTTAGTGATACCTTCGTCAACGTAGATAGCGGCAATGACAGCATCTTCCTTGGTAGTGGGCTGGTTACTGATGAGCCTTGATAGGGCGTCTGCCTGCCCGAAATTCTCTGTTCGACGGTACTGGATTTCGAAGTCGTAGCCCAATAGGATAAGTGCCCACCTTTGCAGACGGTTCGCGGAGTGAGCTGGGATGCTTGTTTTTGATCCAAAGATTGATAGCAGCGGTTTGTGGTCTGTCAGGAGAGTGAATCGTTGGCCATAAATGAGTTTGTGGAACCGGCGGACAGCGAAAACCAATGCGAGAGCTTCTTTCTCAATCTTTCCGTAACGCTGTTCTGTCGTTGTCAGCGACCTGGATGCGTGCATTAAATAAAATCAGAAACCAATATTGGGGAATCGTGGATCCCCAACAGAAACGCAAACATACTGTTTCTTGCTCTTGCTTTTAGTGAGCTTAATATTTTCAAAAATAGCTGATTATGCACAGTCATTTCTTTTTTATTATTTTTAACTACAAGAATCCCTCTTCATATTCAATTTATTTTGTTTATCATGCCACGAACAATGTGTGTCCAAATAAGTGACAATGTTTTTGGACAAAAAACTAGCATTATGTACAGGATTAGTTCAAAGCAACATGATTCACGCTGCAATATTGAAGTTGTATGGTTACAGGGTATGGTGCAATACACTCAAAATTAAAACACAATTATATGCTGTCAAAATATCAAGTCTATTATTCATCAGGCTGATGTATTTTTAAGTAACTTCACTGAGGCTACAACGAAAGATCAATTCATGCTGCACTATGTTGCTGAGCTGTATTAATTTCGTAAGGGCGCATTCATTTGCCATATTAACTACCAAAACCTCCTACAAATTAAATGCAAGGAACCTTATTTTTTTGACCCTGACGCAATGTTGACGGATACCTACTTTTATATGCTATGCCTAAACGTTATTTGGATCTGAAAGTTATATCTTTACCGATTTGCATGTCATGAAACACTAATACACGGTAATATATAAATAAAAATAATGACAAAGAGGAAATCAAATTTAATACGTAATGGACATACACAGAAGGGCCCTAACTGAGTTGATTCCTATCAGTCCGTCTTTCCAAGAAAGCAACATCATCTGGGTTGACTACTAGGCGTGCGACAGAAGACTAATAGGAGGAACCAGATAGATTCCAAAGGCTTTATGCTGATAGAGATTAAGACTTAGCGTTTTGATAACAAAATAATGGCTCTTAGGCTTAGGCTTACAGGGGTGACTTTGCTAAAATAGAAAGCTGTAGGAAATCGGAAGACAAAAATCAGGTAAGATAGGAGTGCTAAACATGTCATTTCTAGGAAGTGTATAAAAATGCGGAGATATTATATTAGGTTAGGATTTGTTTATTTTTAATTTGCTTTTTAGGCAAAACCTACACTATATAAAAATAATCATTGGGGAAAAACGCAGACACTGAGACCTTAAAAATTCCACTACACGAACAAATTTATGCACTTGAACATTTACTTATACTTTTCAAATTCAATTCTAGAATTTCTACATTTACATTTTAATTCTATCATATATTTGTTATTTAAGATATTATGTTAGGAAGAAAAGTTCTACGATAATCGGAATTATACTGACCAGAAGGTTATGACGAAATTCAAATGATGCAAACGAATTATCTAAATTCTGCAACGAAAATAATATTTAATTCATATTCGAAAGCGCAACCCAAAAAATTTGACTAAAACCGGGATTTAATTGAATGGAATTGACTTAAAAAACGACTTAATAACAGGACTTATACTGGTGTTGCTAAAAGTTGGAAAAACCAACACATCTTTCCACAAATTCAAACAAGTTCAAACCATCAATTTTTATATCTACATTTCATTAAGACAATCACTGACAAATAATATTATATTTGCGCACAATCACCTGTTTCGACTCAAAAAATAATAAACATGATTCTCTGCTTCTGTCAGCATAAAAACTCAATTTAACCTGTGCTAAATTATGATTTTGTAATCCACAATTATAAATAAAAGGGAAAACCTGAATAATGGTATTTTTCCTAAGACGAGAAGCAAATTCGATCCAACGCATTTAGCGATTTTAAATGGTGTCATTTGAAAAAAGCATTTTAATTTACCATGGCGCAAAAAGAGGAAAATCGTAAAAGTGATTTGCTTAAAATATGTAATCGGACAATCATTTCGAAGCTTATTATGTGCAATGACATAGCGCAAGCGTTAACATTTTTGCTTTACTAAAAATTACCATATAAACTTCAATGCTCACTTTTTTAAAGCCATTTTGGCATTTTTAAACATCTTGGACGACAAAATAAACGATGCTGATAAATAGATTAATATAACACTGGAACTATATAATTAATTTTTTTGAATACATATATTAAACGATAGTACATAGTCAGTCGATATTCATCTGATTTTTTAGGTGCTATATAAATGACTGTGTTTTCTTAAGCTAAGATCCTATTCTTGAAATGGCACAAATTTGAATTTCTCCTATATTTGAACTTTGTTGCAGATTGCGTTGAACTGGCAAGACAGTTGCACCAGTTCTACCTTATCGTTGGTGTCCTCTGACTTTGGCTTTCAGTTTTTTTGTAAACACTTGTCATAGGTTAGTCTGTTGTTCTTTCCGTTAAACCAAAATTTGACACTCCTGTTCTATGCATTTCTTTTCGATATGATCGCGTCCTCAGAATCGTAAATGTTTCAAGTATTCATATGGTTTTTTGGCATAGATTCCATCCAGTAAATCAGAATCACAATTTATTAGCTTTTCGTTTATAATCACGTTTTATCTTGCTTCAATGATCAGTGATTCTTAATTTGGATCTTTTTCATATATTTAGAATTGTTCGTGATTACACATGGCTGTGTACAATTTGATATAGTCTACATTTAATTTAAAATATCAATTTTCATTTTACTTATTGATTACTGTTGATAATCTCCCTCTGGACGATTATACGAACTTCTATTAAATTATCATCTAAACTTCTGGCATTCGTATAGTTAACTCTAGATAAAATTGACATTTCCTTTTTGTGCTCAAGATGTTTTATGCTTTTATTTTGCTTTTCGTCTTATGTTTTATGTGGTTCTAATGTAGTGTTTGTGGAATGTTTTTGATGCTCACGCAATGTTGATCTGCCAGTTGTTAAAAAAGGGATGTATTTGTTGAAAGAACCTTTTAAGGTATTTGAATCACTGCGATTTATTTAATGATGTTATTGCTTCTAGTTTTATGTCGTACTTGCCGGTATCTTCTGGTGACCGATTCGGGCACTTCATTCGTAGACCTATGTTAGTTACACCAACTATATGTTCCCCTTCAAAATTCGTTATTATTAATACGTGAACATAGATTTTATTTGTGTTACGTCGGACCACTATTTCCCGCTTCTGGTTATATATACTGAACTCTTATAGTCCATCCCTTCTTGCATCAGCTAGTTCGTTTTACTCTTTTCGTTTACTTATGTTTCGGGTTTTCATGCGAGCGCCAAGACACGAATACGTTTAAGTGACGAGTTCCTCTCTTACACATCCATTTGTTGGTTGTGATTAACAAATACCTCTTTTAATTGATTCCACAGTTTGCTTTTTCCTCGATATTCACGCGCCAGATTGCTTATGGGATGCCTCTGTCAATATGATTCTTTGCTCTAAATGGCTTTCACTGGTCACTGCATTAGACGGATTTTTATTAATCTGCAATTTGATTAACATTTTCCTACACACCAATCATAATCGAGTCATTGCTTTCTTTCGATATTTACACTAATTCAAATGCACCACGGCAACCACATCCGCAATAAACTCTTATTGCAAGGCATCGGAACTTTTACAATTGCTTTTTTCGTCTACCTGACGGCGTATCTTGTTTTACTGTGAATGGCGCGGACTGTTACAGTGTCGGCCCCTTGTGGGAATTTATTATTCGCACTAGGAATCTGATCGACAGCCGGTCGCAATCACAGCCGTCATTCACGCATACACCTATACAGGGCTGCCTCAAGTGACACACACAAAATACTTCTTAAAACTGACGCGTGCGCCGTAATGGCCCAGTTGAAATACCCGTAATGCTGACTAATGCTTGTCGGACGAGTTTGTAGGTGACACCTCTGCACCACGCGTGCGCGCACACGGTAAAGGCGCCGCGGCATTGCACATTAAGGAAAAGAGGAATGGGATAGAGTGACTAATTTGTGGTGCTTCTCAGAGCAATAATTTAGTCTTAGCCTTGGCTCTACTCCGTTTCGGACGTTTGCACAAACTTGCTCATTTAGCACCTATTTCTAAATGACTATTAGATAACACTGTCTTCGATCATAACCTCTGCATTGAGAGTCCCGCATGATTTTGAAATAGTCGTTTTATTTTTCCGTTCCGCAAGGAACTTTTCCTACGGACAACTTATACGTTGCCCGTGGTAACCAGCAGTAAGTGTGCTTTCCTTCATCTTTTAATGTTCTAGGAGTCAGGTAGAGAGTTTGAGACTAGAATTCTCCAAAACATTTTTGACCAACGGTTTCTTGATGACTTTACTTTCTGTTAATTGTGCCAAGTCGATTTGGTTTATTAACTGCCACGCTATTTTGTCAGAACTGCGTTAGCTTAGATTGCACCTAGTTTGTCGGGTTTCACACTTTTTTTCAACAAATTCAGTTACAGAAATCAAAAATTATCACACCAGTAGCGCCTTACCACTATCATCCCCGTTTCGGCGAACTTCGGTCGCCGCCCCCTCCACTCCACTCCACTCAGGCTACTGCTAGAAATCTCTTTCCAAATGCGCTTTAAATGTTATTGTCTTTTGCCTTGAACAAATGATATTTCACAATCTTATTTGTCATTATTCAAAATTAGATGCTTTTCGCTAAAGATTCTCTATGGCACACTTCCAATCGTTTGTAATGCGAAACCGAAAAACAGCCTTTTAAACTCCATATTTACTGAACTTGATAGCTGGAAAAAAATGTGTGCGTTTGTGCAATGTAACTAGACCATTTCCCATTTTTTTCACTACCCACCTAGACTGCAATAATCCGCTGATCCTTACATTTGCGTGTTTTATATATTTTGCAATGAGATACTGCCATTACTGGGATTCATTCCTCGCCGTCGCGGGTAGTGTTGTCTATTCCTAATAACCTTCCTGGCAGTCGTCGCTTTCTCATTGTATAAAGAGTTTTGGTGACAAGAATTGTCTCGCCAAATCTATTACCATCATTCTCTCCTAATTGTACATGGGTGATTTTCTTGCCATTGAAATCTGGGATCGGTTCTGGTATTTGGAAATGAAATTAGTGGTACGGGTGGCTTGACTGACAAGTTGTCTCTCTCACCCCTGTGGTTGTAATAGAATCGAGTCAAAGAGCGAATGATTTTGTTTGACGTTCTACGCGGCCTCATCCACGCCTTATTGCATGAAATTATTCTGGTGGTAATGGAGACAGTTAGTCTAAAACACTTAAGTGAGTAATTCAACTAATTAGGATGGTTAATATATTCACGCAGCCTTCATTTTACACACCCTCTGATCTGAGGAATGTGTTTCTCCAATATAAGTTATCCAAAGCGTTACATTTTCTAGACAACGTTGTGCACATTGTAAGTGGTGCGTTATTAGTAGTTCTTTTCCATTGTTTTATACAACATGTGCAAAACGTAATCGAACCGGGTACGAGTGCACGTTAACTCTTTTTAATAGACTATCAAATGTTAGAGGAATGATGAAGGACTGACCTTTATTGCATATCCTACACTGTTTCTCAAATGAATTCGTAAATTTCCGTTGGTGTCCAGTCGAGTCTTTTCTGCACGTTCGGATTTTATTTGCCAAGACTCGGTTAATCCATGTACATTAAAACCGATGTGATTAAGAATCGGTCCGCGATCATATGATTGAGTTGAATATAACTGTTATTTTTTTTGGTTGTGCAGCTGACGACCTTGATTACTGAGACGATAAATTGGATTGACCTTGTATGGCCCTGCACGCCGGAGCTATCGGTGGGCTTGGAATAGGACGGCAAATCACCAACTGTAACATCACCGGCGGTCCGACTAGTGCCCTGGAAACACAGGCCTCGCCTATGGCTGCCGTATCTCTTTCCGCTCCCACAACCGGTCCGACTGCCAATTCCTTTGTAAAATATGCCTCCAGCTACTGCCCAGGGGACCCCTATGCCAATGGCGGGGGTCTGGCCTCTTACCCCCACGCTGCCGCCCCCGAAGGTCATGCCCCGCCGCCTATGACCCAGATGATGCAACCCCCACCTCCCCCTCAGCAATTCGCTTCTCAGCCCCAACGTATCGTGCAGACTAGCCTCATTGATGCTGGTACGCATGCCATTTGTCTTTACACGGCACTGTCTTCGAGGAGCGTACCTTTGGCTGTTGTTTTGAACGGATTCGTTTGAGAACATGGCCTGTTTAAAGCTTAATGGGTGCGAGGCGTTCAGGTGAAAATATTGTGCATTTTGGCTTTATCACCCAAGTTGGTTGCTTCGGCAATCAACTGGCCGATCTAATTCCTCCTCAGGCGTTCTCTCGCTCTAGTAAGGTCCTAGCTTGCCTCAATTCGTGTCTCGTCTGCTGAGACGCACTTCACACCTTCGCCCCCCCCGCCGTCAAACGAGCCTTAGGCGGCCGACCCATTCGAAGGCGTTGGTGTAATTCGATTGTATCTGCAGCAGTGGAGTCCTTTTCGGTTGTCATGTAACACGCGAAAAGGCTGCTTCTCTGCACGACTTGTGTTTCACTGGGCCGCTAGACCCTTTTTATATGGACCCAGGTGTCTTCGATGTTCGCGACTGGAAATTGTGTTTTTTATGTTGTCTGAGATTTTCGTAAACACAATAAAAATGTCGCCTTGCACCCCTTCTTATCACCACTTGTTTTTTGCCACATCTCTCCCTCGCTCTCCCCTGCAGTTCGTAATTTTAGCTGTGCAATCCATCAGAGTTAACGAATCTAGTGGTTTTTTTGGTCTTGCTGCTTTTAGACACTCTCTGGTGAAAAAGGAAAGCACACTGCATTCGAAATTCCTGATTTGGGTGCCTAGGTGTCTGAAATTAGCGAGGAATGACATTTGACGCTCATTAATTCCACAATTTACCCCCATTTGTCGCGGTGACATCCTTCCTTGTTCAACTTCATTACTTTTTTTGGAAAATCATTTGTTGTGCCTTCTCTCTACAGTCCGGTTGTTTGAGATCTTTTTTCCACAATATGTGTGTTTCTGAACAGTGCTTATTATTTTTTTGGGTGACTTAGGCTACTACATGCAGCCGTGTTGGGCCACGGCGCCTACCCCCACGCCCCCTCCTCACAACATGGTCGCCCAGCAGACGCCTTTCGAGGAGTCGTTGCCAAGCAACGGGACTAGCGGCGGTGCCGCCTCGGCCCGTTCAACTCCCAACGGTGCGCCACCGCCTACAGGCCGCAGGCTGATCACTCCTCCAATGGCGTCGGCCTCTGCTGCCACCGCAGCCGCTCCCGGCTCCCTGTATGCCCCGCGTTTCGCCTCCCCGGCCGGCCAAATCTTTCACAGCCCAAACGCCGCCGTTTGCATTCCGCAGCCCTCCGTAAGTCGCTTCTTTCAACACCCGTATTTGCGCTTCCACAACGAGTAATTTAGGCGCTCCGAGTTCTCTTCTTGATTTCTACGCAAATTGCCAAATGTGCGGAAATACTCCTCGTTTGCATCTAGTATTTTCATACCCTCTTTTTGTGCTCTTTCTTCTACAATGGCTAAATTCAAGTATGCCACAGCTTGTCGCATACTTCGCGTTCATCTTATTGAAATGCTTCCGTCATTAATGAAGCCGCTGAATTTTGCATTATTTGTCTTTTTTTTCGTATGACTAAGTACTAAAGTTCGCATGATTTAGCTCTGTTTTGTACTACCTCCAAACATTCCATTGGGGCTGGGTGTGACGACGTCTTGCCGAGACCTTGGTGCACCGTTTCTGTGCTCGCTCACGTGAGTGCTTGCACAGCTGCGACGCGTCAGCGCATGGCAAATTGGCCAGCTGCACTTCTTGAGGCACAGCCTTGGGGGATATAGGTTCTCAATATCCCCAGACATACTTTCAGCTTTCTTGTGGATGTATGTCTGCAGTTATTGTGGCCATTGTGCATTCCAGAGAGCAATTCTTGCTGTCCACTGCTTACTAATCGCAATTTAGTAGGGTTGGTAGTTCGTCGTATTTGCGGCTCTGTAAGCCAATAACGGCGACGCTATTGTCAGTCAAGCCCTATTGTGCTCGTTACATTCTATTACTTCTTCTAAACTATCCACATTGGTTGCTATGTGAGTTAATGTCTACCTCAATGCCTGTGGTGATAGCAATATGGTTTATAAATTTTGCTCTTTTCGCTCCGCCTTTAGTTAGGCTCAACCCTTCTGTGACAAAGTAATCAAGTGGTCTATCGGGCTGGTAGTAGCACACGGACAAACGAGTTGGGTTTTTTTGGCGTGTTCGAAAATTTTTTTGCCAATCGAACCTCGTCAAAGCAGTTCACCCCACTGCGCATGCACGATGAGCGTGTGAAAAGGCACGTGATTCGCTCAAATACCAACCATGCACTTGAACACGTTTCTCTTACTATTTATTGACTCAGCCTGTTGACGTACTGTGTAATTCGTGTGATTGCGAAATTATGCATTGCGTCAATGCCGAACACACTCAATGTCATTTTTGTGTATAAAGAGAGCACTCTATTTGCGAACCTCTTTGAGATCTACACGAGTCTCATCCGCGTCGGTTCTCATGCTCTGCTACGGTCTTGTTTGTCCATGCCTGGACATCAGCAAACTTTTCGGCTGCACTTTATCTTTTGGTATACCTTTCACACTGTTCAGCGAGAGTTCTGATTTTCCTGCAACTAAGGCATCGACAATGCTGTTTTTCGGCTGTCGCACGTACCCATCCTGTCGCCCTGAGTCATCTCTGTAGGTCTTCTGCGCTGCGAAATACAAGGAGGCGCCTTCCATTCCTGTCCATTCAGAGTATTCACAATCAGTTTGCTGGTTTTGTGGTTTCTCCTCTCTGCCAACCTACGTGGGGGTGCCCAGCATGTCCCGTCTACGCCACGCGAACTCGCACCGCACGCGTGCGTGTGCACCCACGTATCTGCGATCCGGAGTGGTGGGGTCTGCTTGCGGGAACACTTGGAGCCATGTTGAAGGCAGTTTTGTTGGTGATGTAACGCACATGCATGAAACATTGGTGACCACTAACTAACCCACACAGGCAGAGCCATGTACACGCCGTTGCCGTTCCCTTTTGCGAAGTTCACCACTTGAAATGTCCTGTCAATTGGTGAAGGTTTGCACCTTCTCCGACACTGAATGAACCTTAGCGCGTTTACTCCGTTTTGAGATCTAAGGAGTGGTTAATTGGATGCTTGCACAAGATTTATCCCGCAATCACTGATAAGACTCGTCCACCACATATATGCGTTTGTATTTGCTTGATTAACTACGTCTCCCGTGGCTTCTTTTCGTGCTATTTTTGCATTCTGTACATTACCAGAAGTCTGCCATCCATTGCCGAATGATATCTATGCGCTTTGTTATGTCGGCTGATCACTCATTATACATTAATGACCCATTGTGTATCGCTACATCATCGACTTGCTAATCCATATAATATTCCTTGAGTTTGTGTGTGTTTGTGTGGATTTGCACACTCCGCGTTGCAGTAAGAAATTTGTTTTTAAGGCCCCATAGCTCTCTAGTGTGATGTCAGCTCATTTTTTTGACTTTGTAGCCACGTGACCTTGTTTTTGTTGCTTGCATCGGCTCCTTTGACCGCAGTAATTGGACAAGCGAGTATTTTACAAATTAACTTAATTTCATTCATATGTTTGTAAAGAAGATAACCGCAGTAAATTGGCTTGACGTCAAAAATAAAATGCCTTTAGATTTTGTGGAGGTTATTGGCAATTGCTATTTTATAACCCAGAATCCGTAATATCAAGAAACTGACGCACTCATTCAGTAATATGCCATGTCTCTCCCCTATAGCCGTGTTTGGTCTTTAGAGAATGCTCTGGTGGTGCAACTTCCACGAACGCTACACAGTAATTTGGTGTGCCTCTCCATCTCGCCTGTATTTTATTCGCCCTCCTCCAGCCTGTTTTGCGTTAGAGTACTCATTGAATGCACGGTTACCTTCATTCTCTCTTTTGAATGAGGTTTCATTGGTTTCTCTGTGTGCCCAGTAGTGCCAACGTTTTTCCCTAGCGTGGCTCTAAATTTAAATTCTTTTCTTTTTACGATATAAATTGCCTTGGAAGGTATGACGATGGGGATTGAGTTATTTGCAGTTTGTACATGTCACATCCACTCAAAGTTGACAGTCTTGAGTTGGGAGTAGGCGAGAATTCGGTCAACCAGATGACTATCGAGCATCGTCTATTTTCTTTGTTACAACACGGTGGAGGATAATGCGTCTTGCAAACCTCTGTATGTGTGTTAGTTTGATTATTGTAACCCCACACCTGGGGGCATGGCTGTCCCTTAACTGTGTTTTCTAGAAGTTCGGATCAAACACCTCGATAAAGTGCTAATCAAGCGAGCATACAAATGTGTGAAAAGTTTGCTTTTCATGATTTATTAGGCCATTGTAGCATTTGTGTGCGTGTGTGTGTGTGTATGTGCGTCCTACGTCAAAGTGGATTTAGCTCATTATGATTTCGACGAATTAAGCACAGGTGGCACTCTACTGCATTTCGGATTAACAAGGCCGTCATCTTGTCAGTTGGAGTTTGCGAGTCCCATGAAGTGCTACGATTCTTCAGTAACTGCTTTGCTTCGTCACTTCTCTCTCATGGTGTTGTTTGATCCCCATGTTAATTGAGTGTCAAAGCATTTCTCAAAATACCTCGGGTTTCACCGCCCTAAAGTTCATTCGATGTGAAGCCTCAAAATTTTTGCTTTAATGCTTCACATCAGGTTGTCATTACTGCGAGTTCGTCGTAGTGGAGTGTGGGCATGCGTCGCCTTTGACGTCTTCCACTTCTAGCCTTGTCGCGCTCGTCTATGCGACACGCCTTCTGATGTGTAAGGCGCTGCGATAGTGCTACCATGCAGTGCCCTGGTTTTTTGCCTTTCCTTGTGTGCCTTGCCAGGTAAATTTCGTACAGACACGCCTTTACGCTCTTTGCCCGCCAAATGCAATCGGGTTCCCATGCTTCCGTGTTCTGTAAATACTACTTTCAACTGGGCAGTAAATTTAATTTCTCCAAGTTCTTTGTTCTCACCTCTGTCTGCAGGGATGCTCTACGTTGAGCGATGTTGCTTTGAACACCGTGAATGGTACCTCGGAATTTATAAACAATTTCCAAGTAACCTCATTTGTTCACATGTTTCCACTTCAGAAGCTGCAGCGCAACTCCACCCATGATAAATGGAGTGCGTATTATTCAATTTTCCTTGTCAATCAGTGATTGTTTTTTTTTATTTTTGTCAGCCTGTTACTTGTTCCCGCTCGTACCACAATACACTTCGACTGAATTTGTGTACAAAGCGTTTCGTCGGCGAGCCCCAGTCCGATTTTAGCCTCGCCAAATACATCAATTTGTTGATACTTTCGACAAATGGTTCTTTACGCGTGTGCGCCACGTGGGTCCCAGCTATTGCCTTGGCTAATCCCTAATACTGCTGAAAATGCCACCAGTCATAATTCACTATTACTTGTTTAATCTTTGCCTTTTGCTTTTGTGTACCGTACGTTTGGCAAAATGCTTGTGTGTCTGTAATTTTGCGGAAGCCTCGTGCATTTTGCATCTTTCGAGTTTCTCGTGGGAAAAAGCTGTTGCTTTGTCGCCGGGGTGTCACTATGCTCTCACACGAGGTCTTTTTCAATTACCCTCTTTTTAACAAGCCCCACCACCTACCGCAGGTAATGAGTCACCTTCCATCTTGTGCCCTTCATCCACCGGTTCGCAAATTTAGGTTGTTCAAAAATTACCAAGTGTCTTGCGTACATATGCATCCGCACAGGCCTCGTCTGTTTATTGCCACTTAATGTCGACATCGAGCCAGTTTCATTCATTTGATCACTTTCTGTGTCTACAATTGAAAGTGTGGTAGCTGAGATGGGAGGGCCTCCGCGTTCACGCAGCAGCATAGCAAACGTTGACTCGCAAGTCCCTCCCTTCAGCCCAAAGCTCTCGCTGCTCATGACCGTTAGGTCAAGCCTCGTCCAGTGCGCCAAATCGAAGCTTGCAGATGCCAGACCCTACATATTTCCCCCAATTTCCCCACGCTATTGCTAATTGTGGAAACAGTACAATGTGGTTTTTTTGTGTCGCTCTGAGCAAAACTCGGTTGAGTGGTCCCGCCTTTGTGCGTTGCGAGTGTTTCTTGGACCTTAAATACTCTTGATGATAACTATACTCCGACTGATCCATTCTTAGACGAAACAGCAACACGCAATTTCCCCCAGTATTGTACTACTATTAGAAATTCTTGCTCCTAATTCGTGTCCTATTTCCTCTTTCTTTCTTCGAAGTACACCTCTCTTGAATTCATTTGTGTTATTATTGTTCCCACCCATTTTGGATATTATCACATATTGTTACAGAATAAAGCCAACTCCTTCCTACCACCAATTTCGATCATGCTTTCACTATTAGAGAATCAGCCTTTGTCGTGTTGCTCGGGCATTACGCTTTGTGGTGATTATTCGCGCGTCTTGGAATATCGCCCCCGTGGTTTGGCAGTAAAACCACAACTAAATTGTGTTCTTGGTGGTAGATTGCTGCTGAATTATTTTGCCACTTGTAGGAACGTCTTTAATTAAGGAAGCAATTTGTCTTTGGTAATCGCTCAGCGCCGCACACCTTAGTCTGTGAATGCGCTGTAACATATGCCTTGTAACTATCGATGTGTCTAATGTCGCGACGACTAACGGACCAAGAGGTTGTACCTTTCGTAGGCTAATTGTCTGGAGCACTGAGACCTGACGGTGGCACTGCTTTAGTTTGGGCATTAGAATGTGCAACCAGCCTTGGTGAATTGCTTCTTTTTTGTTGTTTCCACCAGCCCACCGCCTACATGCCGATGCACGCCCATCCCCACCCTCACCACGATCCGGCCTGCCTCGGTCCGGCCTTCGCTGGCGCTGCAGCCGCGGTGAACGGACAGCGCATCTTCTTCTCCCAGACGCCCGCGCGTCTGCCTGGGGGCACCACGCCTCTGCGTGCCGCGCCAATTGGCTACTTCCCGCTGGCCGACGGCAGCATCTGCGCCTCGCCTGTGCCCTTTCCTCCACCGGGCACCCTCGAACCGGGCGAGGTCACCTCTAGCACCTCCCTCCCACCCACTGGTGGTGGTGGTGGTGGACGCAAGTCAGAGACTGCCAAAAAGAAGAGGGCCAAAACCACAAAGGTATTTTTGTGTGACACTTTTCGCTTGTAAACCAATTCCCAAATTTTGGTCGTGTAATTCCTCTGTTTGTCCGTTGACGGAGTCTGAGTGTGCACCTTACTTTCCTACATTCTTCATGTTCTTACCAAGAACACGGGAATTTGCGGTTATTGCTGCCTCGCCAATCACCACTTCTTAACATTCCTTATGCGGTGTTGTAGTCTCTGTCGCTTTCGTTGACTTGACACGTTCCCATTGTACACGTTTATCCCACATTTTGACAGTCATATAAATGTGATGCATCCTCCTCCAGAAACGAGATGTGCTTGCTTCCCTCGTGGGAGTATTCGTGACTGCTCGTTTTGTTGTGTACTTCAATCTGGTGGGGTTATTTCACAACTATGGGTGAAGTGATTGTGAGTTAGCTTATGGCAACCATCACAACAAAACCTGTACCAAGTTTTTCTAAGTAACACTTTGTGCACTTTTACTTTTGCGCCCAACTTCACCTCAATCAATGGGTTTTCGGAATAACGCCTCCCTCTTCGTCTTCTGCCGGTCTCGATACCCTTGTTTTTTTTTCGAATTCTGAGCAAGGATATTTGCTCCTCTCATCTACTACAAAGTATGCTTTGGTACTTTGTTAACTGTCGTATGCCGTATTAATTTATTTATTGCTGCACTACAGATTATCACCAAGTGCGTAAATATGTCGTGCACGCGTTTGGGCGGTTTCCTATCGAAGTTTCGTGTGGTCTTTGCTGTCGCATGGTGACTATTATCGACTGATAACATCTTGTGCGCTGCAACAAAAAAAACTTAGATCTCAAGGTTGAGCCTACTTTCGGCCATTCTGGCACCGTTTTCCTGCTTTCTGGAGCACATCGCCGCACGACTTTGTGGTTTGTATAGGGCGATGGTCGCGGAGTTCTCTTGGAGACGACGGGTGAGCCTGCGCTGCGCACGTTCGACAACTTGCCACCAACAGCCTCACAGCAGAACGTGTCTGTGGTATCGCAGTATCTCGTATAAGCCTCGTTAGCCCGGTTTGGCGATTTAGTAAAAAAATGCAGTGAATCAGGGGAGCTTCCAAATTGTTTTGTACGTTTTGGCGCTGTTTCTTCTCATTTAGAACATATTTCGCTATCCAGAACTATCATCGGTATGGTTCTCGATAAACTGCTTTCGTTACTCCAGTACATTTTTTTTTACCTGAGGCTGTGGAACACAGCCTTGTTTGTGTAGTTGAGGGGCTTCCTTTTTTACCCTTCCTAATCATTCGATCAGCTTTATGTGCGAGGTCGCTGCTCTCCTGTGGGGATGACCCCTTCTCTTGAAAGGCGACCAAGAATCTCACGTACCTCTCAGTGCCGGGAGATTTGTTACCCAACGGGTTGTGCGTTGCTGATTTGTTTGTTGTGCCCGTTTCTCATTCATTCACTTTTTTTTCTCGTCCTTTAAACCAGGCCCAGTCGCGAGCGAATGCCATCCGCGGAGCCAACAACCGGGCGACAAATGTGGCGTCAAGTGCGCCGAAGGTGGTCACAGTCGGCCCTTCCGTTCCCCCATCAGGCCTCACCTCCCCAATGATGGCCCCCGGCATGATGCTGTCCACTGCTCCGGGCGGTGTGGGGGCGCCGATGTGGGGACCCGGGGCACCCCGCATGGGTGCACCACCTGGCGGCTTGATGAACAACGGCGGCATGCTCCCCACCACGTGCGGTGTTCCCCCAAAGGCCATTCCGGACCAAATGGGGACCGTTCATCCGTCGGGCGCTGGACCGCAAGCCCCACACCAGTCTGCTCCTCCCGCGCCACAGTCTTCGCAACCCTGCACCGCTGTCTATGTGCCTACTCAACCTAACCGCCCCGACCCCTTATCTGGTTGGTCTTGCTTGCTTGCTTTGCCGTCTAATTATGTCCCAGGGTGCTTGTTGAGGTCGTTTTCTGGTTGATCACTTGATCTCCTTCCAATTGCTGGTGCTTACTGATGACAAGAAAGGGCTATTTGAATTTGCTGTTACCATCCCACTGCCAATTTTCGAACAACCGGCAGCACCACCACAAATGTAAAGTGAATTTAAGCCATCAATTTGAGTCTCCACTGCACCCGAGTACATTCAACAACAATGGATATGTATCTCCTGAATTGCCTGAATCATGGCATGTCATGTTAACGTAGCATGCTTACTATCGCACTGTGTCTTAAACCCCTATTGTGGAACTTCACCTTGGTCCAACTCATTTTGATGGACCAGAGGTTACCCCGGCAAGGTTAGAGGCTTTCACTTCACGTTATATCACTTCTACATTGTTGTGCGGTTTTTTATTGAAGCATTTTTTCTGTTCAAGTGTCTGCTTATAATTTGTAAGTTTAATGTTCTTTCACCCCAATTTCATTTCACCTCCATAGAACGCCTCGTTTGTCCAATTACCAATGGTACTGTAGTTCAGCCGATGGTTCTTCATTTGGATGAGGAACAAGCTCGCCAGTCCCCGGGCTCTCTTCAAATCCGAAGTTGTGATTTTGAGCTCTCCAAAAACCACCTCTCGACCATCGTGGAACGCCCTGATCTCGACATTGTCGTTTGCAGTCACTTGGCAAATGAACCGCTTCAGATGTGTCATTGGCCGGATGAAGCCGTCAACATCCGTTTCAACGGAACCGCTCTCCCGTTGGATCGAAGCTCCGCCGCGGACGGCCAACCAGCCCACAAGGTTTGTGGTGTGAAAAGCCTCTGTCGGCCCGGTCGCAACACCCTCGAGATAATCCTCTCACCTGCGTGCAATAGCGCCTCACGGGCAACACAGCAGTTCCAAAACGGAACTGGACTAAAGGTGCGTCTCTTAACCACTGGAACTACCGTTGACCAAATCTACTGCGTGTTTCCCGTGGTTCACACCTTGGCTTATCCACGAGTTGTGCTGAACGCGTCTCGTATTTATATCAACTACTGCTGTACTTTCTCCACGCCTTAGGTAGTTATTGGTCTTCATTTTAATCGAGCGTGAAGATCTCCGTATTCGCCCGTAAGGCATTACCTTGACACCTGCATAACATGAGTCAGTATGGTGAGGAGCGGGATAAAGGCTATAATTAGAAACTCTTTTTACACACCGAATTGTTCTAGTCTGTGAATATGATAGCCTGCATAGCCGACAGGAAGTTCTTGGCTCAATTAAATCCCGCGCATTTCGCCCTTCCCGAATTGTGGCGTTCCATCGGTTGTTTTCGCCTTTTTTTACTTGTTTAACCCAGGCCCCAGGATGGTGGGTTCAGAAGCCACGCGCTTCATGAGTAATCGTGCCAATGCGCTTTTGCCTTAAGGCCTCACCAGCGCGCCTGTCCGTCTATCGAAAATCCGCATGTTCACGCGTGGATGGACAGGCTCGCGTTGCACATACAATGAGTTTTGAATGCGCGCGCGTAACCCTGTTTCTCCAAACCTCTTATCATATCTCATTTCGGCTGTGCGCGTGCCTGCCAAAGTAAAATTACTGCTGCTGTAACGGCGTGCACTTGCTTTCGCCTGCCACGACCGCCACTGCTGCTGCCGCCGCCACCGCCACCATCGCGTACATTTGTCCCTCATCCTTATTTTCAATTGGCAGCACCTCGTGTGTGTGCGTGCGCGCGCGCACGTGTGCACTGGCTCAGGTTGATCGATGCCTTTGCACGTGTGCGGTCGAGCCGCGCGTCAAGACCAAAAATGCGTGTTCGCGGGCGTGCATGCGTGCGCGAGCGTTCGCGTTGGGGTTAATTACGAAAGTCGTCGCGGTCGAGTGCGTGTTCGTGCGCAGGTGCCACCCCTTACCTACATATTACTGAAAATGCAGCTGCGCGACGCTGCCAAGTTGTAGACAAGCTACACTCACCCCCACTAGCTGTTTTCGAGGTTTTGCGTGTCTTCCGATGCCAAATTCCGGGCCGTGCTGTTAGATATTGCCGTTTCCAAGTTAATATTCCTCGGTCATTTACACGCATGCCTCCTTTGGCACAGGCCACATGTTTTACTTGTTTATATTCACATGACATTACGTATGGCGTGACTCCTGAATGTCCAATTATACAAAACTCGAGCTTGAGCAGTGTAGGGGTACCTAATTCGACAGATCTGAAACAAATGCTGCGTCTTTTTGTCAACAGTTTCGCGAGCGTTCGGGAAAGACTCACTTTGGCATTGTGTGGACATGTGTGCTGTCGTGTCGTGACCGCCCCTTGAAGCCTATCAATGACCATATATTCGTGGAAAAGTGCCCGTCATAAATCTTAAACGCTTGTATATTCTCTCAATGTCTGTTTGAAGTACATAATAAAAGGCCCAAGAATGATTTCAAAGTCGCTTGAGAGTCGTCAGAGCAGTAACGAATGTTTTGTTTTTAAGGTATTTTGTGCTGCTGACATTAGTCTTTGTTTCTCTTGTGGTTAAAGGACCATCGTTTCGCTGTATTCATGGCTCACATGCCGGCTCTGAGTATGGTCCTGGACGGTCTCCAGCGCCGGATGTCCGATGATGCAGTTCCACTCACTCATCTCCTCATTACCTCTTGGCGAACGCGCCATCAGCAACAGACCGGTGATCAGCGCCCAGCCACACCCAGTCAACCGATAATAGCCGAGATCAGCCTTGTTTGCCCTGTCTTTCGGACACGAATGCAAGTCCCAGGTCGTATTGCCGGCTGCAAACACATGGAGGCCTTCGACATGGAAGCCTTCCTCCACCGGGAGGCTCTTTGGCCCCGTCTCCTCTGCCCGATTTGCGGGTAAGGCAGCTTTGCTTAAACAACAGCACAGCATTGTTCATTTTGGCGAATTTCATTGGTCCATTGTTTGATGCAGGAATGGGAGTCTCGGAGGAGTGGAAAATCTCTACATCGACACTATCCTCTCCAACATCATCCAGTTAACTCCCAAGACCGCCTTATCAGTGCAGGTGCGCTCGGACGGCTTTTGGCGCCTTCCTCCACCCTTGGCTTGGCAACTGCCACCCGGCACAGACCAGTGGCAGGCCATGGTGGGTCCACCCACGCAGGCCTTTGCTCTTGCCCTCCAAACTAGCCCCACTGTTGTCATGACGACACCGCCTTCTCACACAAACGGGTTCGATGCTCCCGGTGTAACCCCCGCAAAGCGGTCGTGTGGAACCATGGCGTCCCCTAGCTCAGTTTCAGCTCCGTTCTTTGTATACACATCCACCGGCATGGACTCAAACACTTCCAGCAACTGCCCTCTCCATACTGTTGCCACCTCTGGACAATGGAATTCAGGTAGGAATTCACACGAACATTTTTTACTCATAACATCACAGTAGGCGATTTGTATCTTACTTCGATTCCTGTCTTAGATAACATGTCGTCTAACAACCATTCACCAGTGCCCCAGGGAGTTACGTCGCCCTCCACGAATCCAACGCCAGCATCAACCCGACAAATTCAGACACCGGATTCCCGTAAACGTGTTCTGAGTTCTGGTAATTGTAACAATGTATCAAATTCCCATGCGACGATGCAGTCTCACCAGACTAATCACTGCCTACTCCCAAGCAGTGAGCCAGATCTTAGGGCTCAGATGGAGGGGAACTGTGCTGCAGCTCCTCCGAAATCCTTCCCTCCTACCCCCACATTTGTGAAACCCTCGCCACCTACCCCTGTGCTCGTAAATTTTGGCGGCAGTCTATGCAACAACAACAACAACAACAGGCCATCTCCCACCTCCGCAGCACCGCAGCCGAAGTGCTGCCGGAACTTCCGGGGCAAGCTCACTGATGCCGATGTCCGATGGGCCTTTGATGGGCTCACAGGACTGGACGTGTTCAACCAAGACGACTATCGTCAATTTGTCAGTAATTTGTAGTTCTTTCTATGTGTATGTGTGTGTCTTAGACATTCGCCTCGCAACTTCTGCGGTAACGTGTATGCATTTTCTCGTCGGCATGCTCCCCTCTTCGCTCTCTACCGTTGCTCCCCGCCCCAGACCCCACTTTTTGCGTCCCACACGTGGCTTTTGCCCCAGTGTTTTTCTATCTGCAATATTGCCGAGAGGTTCTTACTACTTACATTGCTAGCAATTGTGTAAATGACGTAAATTTCGACTATGCCCGCTCCCCTGTATGTATTCTTTGCTCTTTTTCCCCTCATTAAATTGTCTTCTATAAGACCCCCTGAATGAGGCAGTACATTCAGTATTGCCTGCTTCTCATTGTCTGGCTCTTGCTACCCTTTAGATGTGTGCCAGCGGCTAATAACGGTTAATCATCTTAATTGAGCGAAACACTATTCTACGTGTAGTTAGCTGGTCCTTGACACTAGGTCATTATTGGACTTGTAATTCGTGGGATAGCAACGCGAGATTGGCTATTTGTCATTGGTAAGTGTGAGGTCGCATCTAGGCGGCAGAGACAGTGGGGGTCGTAGGAAGTCGAGGGGAGGTGGCAGGTGGAGAGTAGCAAAGTCGCCTGGAGTGGAAGTCCTGCCCACCCCCTCAAGCAGTGAGGCATCCCCATGCAAGAATTCGCGGATGCTGTTCAGCTCACGCTCGCACCCGCCAAACCTGTGACCTACCGGCTTGCATTGCCCAGCGCACCGTCGATGACTCACATAAATGGGGCCTATTTCCTTCCATTACTACCTGCTAAATTACCTCGTTTTGGTAGTGCATCAAATTGCCACTATGCAGTTGGAATTTTAAATTGTACGGACTTGGCCGGTGTTTAATTCACTACCTGCGGCTGCTCACCTGACGACGACGGCGTTCTCAGAGCCGCACCACACCACCTTGGAACGCGGGTTTCCGCATATTCGAAGGCGGGACGTTTTCAATTACCAACACAGATTTTACCGTGCAAGCGATAATTCTAATCGAAGTTGGAAATCAGCATTGATGTTACTCTCTAATGTTCCCTTGGTCACCCAAAATGTGATGATCAACAAAAAATGGGATTTATCGTTATTGGTATAGTTGGCCGGATTTGTGCTCTAGCCAGTAGCGTCAAATACCGGTTTCACATCAAGGTAGAAATTTCACATGTATTCCGTCTTATATATGGCCTAAAAAGTGCAAAACTTTGGTCGACGACTACTGGAAGTTTGCAATCAAAGCGATCCTAATCACACCCATAAACGGAGCTTTGGTTTCGAAGTATAGCTTGTTCGAGCGAGCGTGAATATTCATGACTGTCACGCACGGCCGCTTCCCGTGGTTACCCACCCCTCTCCACGGGCTCCCTGCGAGTCACTCGATCCTTTGGCTACAGCCACTCCCATGTAACTGGATGCTTAACCTTGGTTAGCCTAGGTCGTAGAAATAGACCCCGCAAATCCTAAATGCTAACACACCACCTACACATGTCGTTCACTCATGTAAATGCGCGTAATCAGCTGGAGCCGAGGGCAGCTAGGTATAACGGTTGAGTATCTGTCGGCTTTGCGTATTCCATTTGAATCGGGTGGCAACAGCAACAACAGATCTGTTGTGGGTCCCAGAATGCTTCATCGAATCACGCCCAGGCCACTGGGTCGGATTTGTTCTGGTTACACTACTCTGCTACCCGTGATGACGCAAAAGACTGGGGCGAACTTGGACACAACCGATTACTTCTATGCCCAACCAAGTTGGTTTCGCATGTGCGTGTGTGAGATGTGTGAAACAGTTCGCGGCGGTGAGGTGTCAGTTGATGTTCCGCTCAGCTGACGGCATTCTGGGTAAGGGGTACATTGTGTCGGCGAATGGAGCGACCGGATTGACGTGTGTGAATCAGCGCGATTCATAACTGACCCACAGAGGAGTCTTCAACACTACAAAATTTAATTGTATCAAAATCAACTGAAAAATACGCCATAGTGCTACCGCTAAATTGGCCTCGCCAGCATTTAAAAGCTTTTGCTGCAGTGCATTAATGAACATCCCGCATAATGCTTAATTTATATTTCCGTGAGGTGGTAGCTTCTTCTCATTCAGGACAACCTCCTGGTTAAAATGTGCAAAGGTGAGTCCCATATACATGCACTAGGTAGATTTGTCGCGTCAATATATTGTCATCATCCTGATGCAACTATTGCCCTTTGTTCATAGCCCTAGAAATGATTACGCCCTATTAGCCCATAACACAATTTAACCACTAGCTTTGCACAGTCATGCAACGTCAACCTGACATGCTGAAACCTCTTTCTGAAGCCATATCAACTGCCAATTGACAATGCAACTTTCTTCAGAGGATGATTCTACAGACGATTTTGCCGCGAAGGAAGAACTCATATAATTACTAAATGTGGTATTTTGAGGCTACAGCGCTCTGGTTCTTTTAGCTACGCAATGACTGCATTACAAAATTCGTTGTGAAATTTAAAAAAATCAAGCCCAGATTTAATCGCGTCCAGGTAAAGAAGGTCCCATTCGTTCAAATTGAAGCACTTTTATATAATGATCATTTGAGTAAATACAACTTCATAGTGCGTAATATTCTCAAATGCGTCAATTCCTTGGCATTCGAATTAGCATGTTTCGGAGATGCTAGTCAAACGGCCCTGTTCGTTGAATTAGGTTGTTTAAAAAAAACCAGGAAACCAAATGATGCCGTGTGATTCCCTACACAGTCGGCCTTCAATAAACACAACCGATGAATTTTCTGTAGATTTGTCAAAATTAGCAAACATTTGACCTCCAAATCTTGGTGGGTTAGTTAATTTTGTTCCCTGTTGCTATTCACCTTGAATCGTTTAGAGTGCTTAATTTAGTGCTCTGCATTGCACATACAAACCCAGTGTATTTCAGAGATACAAAGCAGTTGTGGTTGAAAACTCTTCTGCTTTATCGAAAGTAGCCAACGTGTTAATTGCCATTTTCCGATAACACGGAAGATCGGGAGTGAGGTGATGGCAACTTGTCTTCACGTGTGGGAGATCGACCGTGATGCAACGCTGCTCTTCTTTTTAATTTCCTGATAGTAACCAAACTGCTGGAAGGATAATGTCTATCACAGGACGATATTTCGTAGCAAAATGGCTAAAAATTAGCGATTTTCGTAAAAATTTGTACTGTTGCAAAGCAACCATTTTACGTACGTTCGGATGTCCAAACTAAACGGAGTGCAGTGACAGTCTGATTTTTTTAGAACTGGTTGCGAATGAGGTGTGTTCCAATGATTACACGTCAGCACATTATCTGCCTAAAACCAAGACATTGTCATTCATTCGGCAGTTTTTAAAAGATAGTGCTGTGTTGTTCGTTGATGTTTTTGCAGCTTATTTTTTATTTTCAGCGATTTGTCAAAGAAAGTGACTTTCGGTTCTTAGTCGTAATAAGATCGGTTTGCATCGTCAAGATGAGAATTTAGGACCTGAAGTTCTGCTTTGTATTACATAAAACCAAAAAGATTTTGAAAGAGCCCTTTACCGAAATGCTCCTTATTGAAATTTTATGGACTATCACATGCACACTCTTTCCTCCCTGAAACGCTTTTACGCCCAACGACCAAATTTAAAATCGCCTAACCATATAGTTCGAATGATGTTTTAAACGACTTGAGAGATATATTTAGACCTTTCTCCACCTCCCCTGCAATCGCGTGCAATTTTAAATAAACTGCTGTTGAAATATTAAAGATAAATTAAGGACACATGCACAGGGGCCTTGATATGATAGAGTCGATCACTGACTAGCACAAGCACATTGTCGCAGTAAAAATTACCAGCATCATGAGAGCGACCTCGGTGAATATTCGTTCACGTGGCTATTTGCGTGTTTACCTGTTCGTCACTATTCCCTTTGCCGCATGACGTGGTCTGGCTAGCAATCCATTTATCTTAACGATTATAAATTCTTGTGAATTTGGTCGAAACATTTTGCTGACCCCGTGATGCGCCTACCCTGTTAATGGTGGAGTTTGTGGGTATTTGTTTGGTAACTTTGATTACTCATTTAAACTTCCAGCACCTCTGATGGAACAAACTTTTGGATGGGAACCCGAATTGGCGTTTTGCCCAGTTTGCAACCAAAAGATCATCACAAACGTTGAGCTTCAAACCGGAAAATTTGCCCAAATTTGTGCCTTTATTATCTGCATGCTTGTGTAAGTTGTGCGCGTAGATGAAAGCAGTTCATGCTTACATCCCTTTAGGTGGATGCTCATAAGAAAGTTTTTCCATTTTGGGTGTATCCATTATTAGCTAATATTGACAATTTTGATTCACAAATTTCTTTTTTAAGGTTTAAAGTATTTGTTGTTACGACTAGAATTTTTGTGGCGGATTTCACATCACCTAAACACAAGGATAAATTAAAGGTATCTCGGATTCCTCTTCATGATCGACTAACACAAAGGCATAGAGGTGATAGAAATTCTTTAGTATCTATGCATCAAAACTACCTTTTTAGTTTAACGACACTATAAGCTGGGAGGAGTGGTACATTCCGGACATGGTTTGTTCACAATTTCAAACCCGTCGTCTTTAAACTACTATTAAGTCGTGGAAATAGTTAAGATGCATCCTTAGGAAAACTAATCCTATTCGAATTTTCTTGATGCTGATTTGAGTAATATCTTCTTTGGTAATATGACGTTGCTACCAAAATATTTACCGACTAAGAGACACAGGACCAAATAACTAATGTGGCTAATTAGCGACTTCTTCAGTTAAGTCCAATTAAGGGTCGAATACTCCTAACGTCATTTGCTTATTACGTATATTTTACACTAGTAAAGTCACCTTTGCTATAGTTAGTTTTAATCGAATTTCATTGGTGAAAAGACAGGTTAGGAAATTAAGCCAACTAATGCCCGTGGTATTTGTATTTCCTACCAGCACCATGCAGAATGGAGAAATTCTATGCGATGGCACTTCTGATGATGCTAAATTGTTCTTTTTTTGTTAATATGAACGACATGTTAAGGAGTCAGCTCAAAAGAGGCATATTAATGACTCGGTGTAAACGAACTACTGAGCGCATAGAGGTCGAGTTGCATGTTGCTAGAGTGCAGCCATTAAGCAACATATGAATATCACCATCCATTAACAGATGCTGTATATTTTGTTTCAGAGGATGTTTTGGCTGCTGCTTCATACCTCTTTGCGTTGACTACTTCAAGGATGCAGTACACACCTGCCCTTATTGTGGTGCTATCCTCGGGACGAAATCAAGGTGTTAGCAGTAAGAAGGCTTAAGGAAACAACCGGTGACGAGTATTGCTGACAGAAGCCACCAGGTTTACACTCGCATTATTAAATCTTTCTATAGAGGTTTTTTTTACTTTTGGATTGCAAACTTTTCTAAAACCAAACCAGGACAACTCGGACTACCATCTACATCTAAAGTCATGAAAAAGGTGTATTATTTTTACATGAACAAAGAACATGCATTGAGTAAAAATGCGTACAGAGTCTTTCCGGTACGAGTTACTGTTTGTAGAGAGGACAAAACTTAAGTGACATACAACAGACTCGTCAGGTTTGTGATGCGATATGATGGAAAATGACAAAAGTAGTACCTCGAATAGCGAAAGTAAAACTAACCTGCTCCTATTTGTTTTTTAGTATTCGTTAGGCAAAATTTTGTGAAATATTATATTTATTAGTCTGAAAAAAAGAGGGAATAAATGTTCACGTAGCACATAACGTCATCGGGCTACGGAATAATCCAAGCCTAATTATCAATCACTAAACCCAACTAGCCCACTCAATTTACGATGCTGTAAGTACCTCTCCATATCTGGATTAAAATATAATATGATCTTCATTCTTAGAATATTAACAGTGACAAACTGACGCTTTTTCTACAAATAAGTACCCCAGTTATAAAGGGAACACATTGTTGTAAGAATGTTGCGATTAATACCACAGACAATTAATTGACCAAAGAATGTGTTCCAAAATGTTCATGTCGTTATTTATAATTATTTTATGACTGAGTGCGGGGAGGAACTGAATGGTTGTTGATAGAAAAGCAATAAAACAAAGTTTACTGGACATATTTGGGATGTTCGATTTCCTCATTTCTGCCAGAGTGATAAATTTCCGATTTAACTAAAAAATTAAGCTGTCGATATCTTGTTACAATTGAGCTGACAATAAAAATTTAGTTATAGGTAAAAACTTTTTTTCTCGAAATTCATACCAGAAGACTAAATGTAAAGGCCTCTAAATTATCCGGAACAATATAAGTATGATTTGCCCCACTGCCTAACCTGCAATCACCGAAAATAAATAATATAAGGTAGATTTATAAACAAACTAGAAGGGTAGCCTGTTTCCACTCATCGTGATTCATGCAACTATCCTTAAAAATTCAAAATCCATGTCTGAATAACTAAACTATATACTCTTGCCAATCAACCACATGTCGAATAAGTGAAGTATCAGTGTAAGTCAGGTGCATATTTTAAAGTTCAAATTGACATAATATTTATAAATTTCTCTGGCAGGTGAGGTAATATTTAAAATTCACTTTAAAGTCATCACATGCACAATGATTTTGTGAGGAAATGTAATTTTGCTTTTAGAAACATTTGACATACTTTTAGGGAATATCAATCCAGAAATATGAAACGTAAGTGTGATATACCACAAATTTAGGTATTTGTTTTTTGGCTCTGATATTATAATTCCATTCTTACTAACTATGCAACAATTCGAGATAATTAATTCACCCAATAATAATAATAATTGACCTCGGCCGCCAAATTTGACGGCTATGACTTCGAAGGTTGGTCTCGAGTTCTATTGTTACAAATGTTTTGTAGGAGGATATTCAGATTACTGCTATTGACCAAAGTAGAATTAATAGCTTCGCGAAATGGAATGTAAAACTTAAGGAATTTGAAGCTGAAATTGACAAGAAAAGGGTTTGTTCGCTCATATTCACATTTTCTTAGAAATTGCTTCAAAATATCCATGATCTTGAAGATGAACTTTTAGTTTCGGATTCCGAAGTTCATCTGTATCCTTTTAGTAAATGATTTAGTTTTTCAGACCATCATGTCATTTTCATAGAAATCGTACTGCATAGATAGATTGACTTGTTACTGTGTCGGAATGGTCACTTGCAGCCTTTGCTCACTAATCACGAATTGTGTTTTTTTGCTGCTAAGTAAGAGTATTTTTTTGGATTGATTGTTATTTTGCGGCTGTACGTGCATTGTCTTCGAGTACGGTACATCTTTGTATATTCCTCCATCATGGGCACGTTTCTATGTTTGAACTCTCAACAATACGTCAAGTATGCCTTCGCAAATGTGACTGTTTTCGCCTCGAGCTAAATTTGTGCGAAAACATGACATCTCAGGTGTTGTATGCTTTTAAAAACACTGACCATGATGTAGCGCAATCTGTGTTCAACCTGCCGTTACTGCAAGTGGTTTATAAGTTGGCCTAAAACTAAATAAATTAGCATCATCTCTATGCAACTGGTCAGTTATCATTCCCTGAATGAGCATCATAACTTTGGATTCGTTTGGCCGTACTTATGCGGATGTAATTCGAATGTTTCCACTGCGCCAGTGCTCATGAATTTTTTTAAGTCCGTGTTTTTTGTTGGTCCCTGTCACACAGCATTGTCCTATTCTGCCGGCCTACCGTCGAACATTCCTTTAAAGGTAACTGCCGATTAGCAACTAACTTAGCAGCTGTCGAAAATGATGGAACTACTCTCAACCTATATCCTTTCCAACCGCAGCAAAGGCTGTCAAGCGGTCTGTGTGTTGAACTAGTGGAACCTTTTTTGCTTCCTTGTTATTTCTCCACACCTGTTTTCCCTTAACATCGAAACTGTGTTCTACGTTGTTAGATTTAAGATAGGCGAGTCGTTTTTTCACCTTTTAACCGATGAAACGAATGCAAGAATCGACGAACAAAAGAAGCAACTCAAAGAGCGACTTGTCACTCTCGAATCAGAATTGGGCGACTGCAAGGCTACTATGGCGACTCTGAAAAAAGAGCTGTATGCTAAATTCGGAGACAATATAAATTTGGAGGACTGCTAATTTGTTGAAATCCGCTTATTTTGACTGTCCGTTGATGTTGCAGTGTGTAGCTGGAGTTAAAAATACTAAGACACCAAGTAATGGATTGATGAAAGGTAATTTTGATATTGGCAAACACGCAGCGTTATGCTTGCTTTAGAGGATCCATATCGGTGTTATGATTTTCTTGTCCTTTTGACATTTGATAAGCAAATTGCGGGGGATTTTGAATAGATCGTGTAGCGTAGGTCGTTTTTAAGTGAAACCAAAAGTAGCAGTTTCGAACCTACTTTCTTATTTCCACAAGTTAAGAAAGCTGCTAAGACTCACGAAGAAATATGAGACGTGCGAAGTTGAATGCTTAACGGAGCACACGTATAAGAATCAGTTCAAAAAGCCCGTTTTTGGACTTTTTCAATAGTGACCAACAATCCAGTCTACTCACCGGAGTTGACTCTCGTCCTCATGTAACGAAGGAATTTCTTCAAGACGTTAATACATCACGTTAATTTTGAGGGCTCATAACAAGGCTAGATTTCGGGTTAAGTAGTATTTCAAGCAGGGTAAGCTCAGTGAAGCAATACTTATTTGCATCTCGAAACCAGTGAAGTCCTTCCTTCGGAAGCCGTTCGTGGCAAGTGCTTCAGCTGCAATAGAATTAATCGGGGCGCATGCATGATGAGCGGATACAGACGACACTGGAAACCGACATGCTTTTGGAAGGAATTAGGCTGTCAATTTGGTGGGAGCACAAAGATTTTGTGCATTCTGAGGTGCTTCCAGGGACCGCCATCTTTGAATGAGCAATCACGAAGTCAGCAAAGGGTAATCTGACAAAACATGAAGTACGTTGTTGGTTGAGGCTCATTCTTCCGATTGGAAAAAAGCACTTAGCACTAAAAGTTGGGATTTATCTTTGTCAAATTATCGACGGCAAAAGGATGTTTATCGGCAGTACATGTTCGGATGCAAACCGCAACCGCTGACGCTTCCCGATGCTTTCGACAAGATTCTCGGTAGTGAATACACCTACGGCTGTTTGTGGACCGAATGGCTGATTGAGCTATCCTACTGCATGCTTTGTCATCCACCCCAATGCAAAATTTGCGCGGATTGGCGGTTTCGATAGCTCGTTCCGGACCAGTTTGGATGTGTGGCCACGAGGCGCCCTTGCCGCCGACTCTGTCACTTGCGACAGGCAAAGTTATTGTTAATGTACGCGCAATTAACGCAAATGACTCCTCAACGGCGCAAAACAGGTTGATCAAATTGGAGCACCTGGACTGCATTGAAGCATCAGAAAAGGACCCAGCCGTGGCGAAGTCAAGCTTGCGTAGTTTCCGTGTTGTTAAGTAGAACTACATAAAGTAAACTCAAAACCTCAATTTAAGGTGAAATTACTTGGTGGTAAATTCGTGGAGACGGCAGCAAATCGTCAACAAACCTGTTTGTAGAAGGCCATTTGGCCTAACAGTGGCCCTTCCATGACCTTAACCAAAAGTCTAGACTTTCAGGAACTACACACGTATGTTTATATTAGAAAAGAGGAACAAGTGAAACAAATACACGGGTTTGGTGGATGCGGAGGTGGCACGGAATCGGACATTGAGCAGTGCCTCCTCGTGCGTGTTTGTGTGTGCGTACCATGATTTGGCTATTGGACGGCAGTGTCAGGGTATGTTGGTGTGAGGCTGTGTGTGTGTGTGTTAAGGGCACTTTTTGTTGGTATCTGTCTGATCACAGTAGTTGGTGTCATCAAGGGCAGGGGTTACTGGCGCCTCACCTGTCGTGAAGGAGGAGATAGAAGAAACATCTTCTGCTTCAAATTCTTCCACCACCGACGAATTCGCGCCTGACTCTACCTTTGCCTCCAAAATGTCCGTTTGGACGGATTCCCGACGGTAGGGGCCAAGGTACTCGCTTGCATTCTCCTTCTCGGGTGGTTGGAATGTGTCGGAGTGATGCGAAGTGACATTGCTGGCCTCCTCCTCCGACAGTTGGACTGCTGAGGCGCTTTGAACGGGCAACAGGGTGTGCACCAGCGAAGGCGAGGGCGTGAGGTTGAAGTCGTGTCCGCCCTCCTCGGGCACCACAGAAAGAGGGGCCCCATCAGACTGGTTCGAAATGCTTCGAGCAATCAACAAGGGTACCACCTTTGAGGGTTCAAACCCGCGAACAGGATGTAAAGGCGGTGGAGGTGTCGACGGGCCGGAGGGTTGAGAGAAATTCAAAGGCGGACTAGAAGTCACTGGTTCGGTACTTTGGGGGTTGGTTTTTTGAGAGCTACTACCCTTCTTTTCTGACCCTGGCGACTTCGGAGCGGGCCCTCGTTTTCGTCGGGATTTCGGCCGCCGTGTTGAGCGTTTTTTTCCGCCTTCAACTCCACCCTCTCCCGAGCGTTCAAGAACCCGCTTGTGGGCCATCTCGGCGGCCAAAAAGCGATACTTGGCCGTCTCTAAGTTGACAAGCGTTTGGCGTCGTTGCATTCCATCGGCTTCTGGAGGTTGGGAGTTTTCGAATTTATTTTCAACCATTGAAGAACTTCCTCTAGCGGGTTCACCATTCGAACGCGCTGGCTGCTGCGACCGTAAAACTGACCTTAAGTGACTTTGGTAGGCGGTGTTAGGCGGCTGATGGCGTTGGTCGTAGGGAAAGGCGATTGTCTGAGTCGAGTGTTCATTTTTTACGATCGGGACACTTCCTGCGGGACTTATTCGGGAGAGGAAGTAGTTGGGCCCCTCGAAACTCTCCGACTCGGTCAGACGACTGCGAGAGGGATGGCTTATCTTCAGGGAAGCTTTGGCACCGGGAACGTTAGGGCGTTTCAAGTTGGGGACAGAGAGCTTCTTTTGGGTGCAAAGAGCTGGCATTTTGTGTATGACAGCAACCGGACAGGGCTGCATCCCGTGGTGTGGCGTATAAAAGAGGTCGGTGTCGTGCGCGCTGGACGACGCTGACATGGCGCCTGGGTGGAAGAAACTGGCACGACGTGGCATCATGTACTCCAACTGTTGAAAGGACTGCGTAGAGAATTTTCGGTGAAGCATTTCATTGAGGCGGCGACCAGACATACGAATGGAGGCGGGGTTCTCACTGGCTTGAAGGTGGCTGCCGTCCTCACACATGGCCAGATTTGTGTGACTCAGCAGGTTCGCGAGGTAGATTGGATTCTGACGCCAGAGAGCCTCAAATCGACGTGTCTAGGACAAAAAGGCACCAGGTCACCAAGGCGTCTCTACACCACAGAGCTAAATATAGTCTTCACATGAATAAATTGAAAAAAAGAAAAAAGTGGTCTTTCTCGGGGCATCGAGCCGCCAGGTAAACCAGTCGAAATTTCCTGACAAGTTTAAGGGGACTGTCGAAACCACCACAACAACTAAGATTTTGACTCTGTCCCTTTAAAAACATACGCATTGTTCGCAGGCTAGTGATTCGGACAGCATGTAGGGTTTCTGGCTAATCAGTCACTCTAGCACCATGAACGAGATGCCTTCGAGGAGCAATTTTGGTTGAAAGGGCGCCGTCAAAGTCGTTGACTGTGGTAGGATGCGAGAAAAGGTACGCGATCAGACACATTTCAGCCATCGCACCTACCGAACACATTGGTGCATTGAGCCGCATTATGTGTGCGCTTTCACGTTTCCACTTAGCAAGACAGCAGTCTTCACCCAACTTAAATTTTCTAACGCGTCGACATGTAGGTTCATAAGAAGAGATTGGGAAGAGAAAGACAAGGCCTCAACAATTCACTGGAATTCATCTGGCTGCGCTTAAAATCTTTTCTTGTGTTTCAGTATAGGCCCACATGTGACTTTTCCAGTCGTTCAGACTCCACTTCCCGCCGTAAGCACTTCTTCGCCATCTGACACCTGTAACTCACCAGCCTCTATTTTGATCATCCTGCTTGGAGCACAAAGCCCTTCCCGAGAGCTGTCGCTGCTCCCCTAAAGTTACATTTCTACTCCAAAAGCATGAAATTATGTGAAAGTATTAAAGTGAACCACATCGGCCCCACCAGTAGGAACGTACTTCGTCTTCATAGAGCATTGTGAAAGCTTGCGACAAGCAGACAGTGCAGTGGTATCGGTAGAAGAGAAAAACGGGCATTGTGATTGCTATGAGCACCCAGCCGTAGGCTATATCGCCGTTGTCGTTAGTCATGTTGTACAGAATGTCGGCTTCCTTCAGCTGGAAGGACTTGACCACCCAGCTGGCCAGGTTGATGCCCAGAAGGACAGCGATCATCTGACGGCCGGGCTTGATGCGCTGTTGGGAGGCCTCCTCGCTGCAGCGCCGGAAGCAATCCTGAATGAGGTAGGTCTGCAGGATCACCTCGATCAACTCCAGCATGTTCAGGGCCAGCCGGCCCATGAGCAGGTCTTTGTACGGAGACTACAGAAAAAGAGCAAAATAATAATATGTTTAGAAAATCAGTGTGAACATCAAAATGAAGAGTAGATTGAAAAGTAGCCTGTGTGATCACGCACGCACGCACGCACACAGAGGAAATACCTAAACTGAAAACTCGAGAGGTCTGAACGTCATCTTACAGTGCTTTTTTGAATAAAATCACCACGCCTTTGTTTTTGATGCAAATCAGCTTACAAAACTGCCCACGTCACGAACGGATCAGTTGAAAAGGTCTTATAACGACTTCATGGTAAACCAGACTTTGGGAAATTTCTTCTTGCCTTATTAATACCAAAAAGAGAGAATAATGCAGCTGTGCAATATTTTCACTTCTTTTCAGATTTTAATGAACTAACGTTCGAAGAAGCAATGATTTTCGCCTGATTATTGGCAGATGTGTTTGGGTACAAGACTCTGGAACAACTTACACTGAATGGTAAAAATTGAGCTAATTTAATCAATCACGATGTATTATAATCTAATGTAATTTTGGTTGATAATTGTAATTCACATTACCTCATCTGCGCATAGGCTGTAAACACTAGGTACAAGCATCGTTATGGCTTCGCCATTCACTTTTCACAAAATAAAATGTCTACTTTAAAGAAAAGAGGTACGAAGTACATTTTCGACACGGTTAAAGTAGCTGGTCAGCGCAACGGTTGCAACGAGGTAGTTGGCCGAAAAGAAGAAGGCGATATAGAGGACGAATTCATCGATGACGCTCTGCCTAGGCGCAATGGTGAATTTGAGACGCCGCACTTTGAAGAAAGAAGCCAACGTGACGAAGATACCCATGCAGTTAAGAAACATTTCTTCGGAGAAAAGGACGGCGCACTTCCAGGCCATGATCTTGGAGGTCCCCGGGGACACCCCAGTCACGATTGTGAGGACCGAGACGGCCACCACGATGAGCAGCGGCGCCCAATACCCCGATTTGATGTTCGTGCCACAACGAGACACTCCAACTTTAACCTATTAGTGGGGAGAATCGGCGGAATCAGCATAAAAATTATACTGGAAGGATTCTCAAAACGAAGTATTTAACATTATGAGTACTTTTAAGTTGTGCCGGAAGGGTCGTAAGTGTGGATTTTTTCACCTCAACATGACTGCTTACAACCGTTTATGTAGGAACGGGGGAGGGTTATGGGCAGCGACCTCACACATTCGTGATAGGCCTTGTATTCATTACCATTTGGACCGAACAGGTTACAAATTTTGATGACATTGGAAGCAGGACCGCACCTTAACGATGCAAGTAGAAAGCACCCTGGAGAACGAGCGTTTAGTGAAGGCCGGCAACTGCTTTGTCTTGTGTGCGGTGTGGTTGGCCGTCTCGACGGTGGGGTTTTCGCCGTCCGAGGTATGGCCCGACTTGGTGCCCTCGCCGTCGTGGCTGGCCCCGCCCTCTGTCTCCTCCTCGTCCTCCAGCTCGATGTAGCTCGGCTGGCCGATGCGCACGGTGATCTCGTAGATGAGCGCGACCGACAGAAGGCAGTACTCGGAGACCGCAGGAAGGAGGTAGAAGGAGACGGAGGTCGCGTCCGCGTGGTTGTCCTGCTCGGCGCCCAGGTGCAGTGTTGTGCGCACTTTGTCCACCATGACGTCCGCCCACATGCAGAGGTTGGTGCTCAGCACGTGAATGAAACACGAGCCAAAAATCTCATTGTTGTGCAGGATTACAATCTGAAAGTTGATTTGAGAGTATTTGGCCGTTAATTGCTTAATTAAGTTCACATTAAGGCAAGTAATAGAGCCCGCTTGGGATGACGTGAACACACAAGATCGATTGAGTCGCAAGAAAAAACTTTCCTACTAGAGCTGTTATTATGCCTTTTAAAGTGGGAAGTGATGACGTCTCGTGTTAAATCGTGAGCTACCGCACATACCATCAATCCTGTTTCGGTGTTTTCGAGGCTTGACCAGGTGTGTCATTTTGAGATAGGTTAATGAGTGCAGAGCCAATACCTCCACCTTTCTTTTTTTAAAAAAAGCACAAAGAAGCCATTAAGACTAAAACGCGTCACAAGTGACATGACTCTACCTCTTTAAAACTAACTAACAACTGCCTCATTGCTGGGAAACCTTGACTAATGGTTACCTGAGTGCTTAAAATAAAATGTTAATGCAACCAAGTGCGAATGTACCTACAGAAATATTTGCTTCGGCAGTTATACCTACTTTAAAGTGCAAACGAATTGTACATCGCAGACACAAAAATAATTGCAAATAAAGTATCGCAGTACCAAACAAGACTCTAATTTGTCTTCAATGGTAACTCAATTCTCATCCTTACTGCGTCATTGAAAATCAATCGCTGTGAACAAGAAGTTGTTCCACTGGCTTTTTTGATAAGACCCAACCCAGCTTTAAGTGATTAGCAACCTGAACCAATCAGGTCAAAAAAGACGATGCCAGAGTGACGCTAATTAGTGCCAAAGAATAGTACGAAAAGCAATCCCACATTGCCGCAAAGAACGTTTAATTCAGAAATGAAGGCTAACAGAAATGAAGGTTAACAGAAATCACTTAAACAGGTGTTGTCGTGTTAGAACATTTTCAGTAATCCATTCAAGATAACACCGTCGCACACAAATCTACACAATCCACACACTTGCAAATATACCAACTATTCACACAGGTACAACACGGTGGAAGCGTCTGCGAGTGCAACCGCTTCCGGCTTCGAAACGAACATTCGGGCTTGCGTGTCCCAACTCCACCCACTGAGAGCAGCCAACACAACTGTACCGATTGCACTGCCACATGACTCGCCCCGAAATCCCGGTCTCCACATCTCGTCTACCCGCACGCACGCACGCACGCAAAATCTCCTCGTCCACCATCACACCACTCAGCCCTCCAATTTACTTATTCATGGGGCACCACTTGCTACGCACTTGCCCAGAACACTGCCCATCACGCGACACTGCTAAGAGAGAACCTGGGAATCTGGATTCTTTTTTCAAAATCTACCTAACCACTGCTTCATGAAGACGAACAACGCTCGAACTGACTAATGACGGGGTACTGGTTTGTCTCGCGGGTTACAGACTCACAATGCCATGATGTTAACGCCGTCATGCCAATCATAACAACTAGTGACAAGAATTCTGCTCCGATTTGACCACATCGCGTTGAGCACCGGTCCAACTGCACATGGCACTAGACACGCTCAAACGTGCTGTGGCTCAGTCTAGTTTGTTTGAGATGACGCATCGACAGGCCACGAACCTGACGCTTGCACGAGAAGTCCCCAACTGTCACGATCGAAACTTCTACCCGCTAGCGATCCCCAATCCGCTGTCCAGGTTCTTGTCGGGCATGGGCTCCTTTTAGGCGGGCGTCGTTGGAGAAACAACAAACGCAGTCGACTGACTGCCTCATTACAAAGTCAGTCGGTCTGCATCCACTTTCCACCACATCGTGAGGGCTCGCGCAGTAGTGTAATTACAACAGAGCCACAAACGCATCATGTTTTCGAGCCGCATGCAAACCTCTACATTAAACCAACAAAACCTTGTGAATGAAGCCATCAACTAGGCCACTTCCATCACCACCGTCACCATCTGCAGCATCAACATCATCAACAGAAGTCTTGGCGCAGGCCCTCGTAGGACTACCCAGGGGCACAATTAGCATGCACCAACACTTGACTTCAACAGCGCCTTACTCACACAAGACGAAGAAAAAAAGAATTATGCATGCAAATTTGTTGAAGAAATTGTTTCGACACCCAGTGTTGCATATGTTGCCAACTGCACAATGCACGGTAAGATTCGCCAAGTAATTCCTAGCTTCCTTGAAAATTGCCAAATTGGTGACGGACGTGGGCTGCTTTAAGCAAACTGCGTGTTTTGAGAGCCAAATTTCATTGGCCGATCGTCCTGAGGTGGCTTTGGCTAAGGAAAAAGCGAAGAGGAATGGCATGCTGCAGACTGGGAATTTGGGTAGGTTGAAGCCTGATTGCATCAGTTGGAAAAACGTTTTCGTGATTGGCACTCCTCGCGCCCTACGTGCGCCCAAATGATGTATCTAACGCGATTTTTGTCAGGTCAATTAAAATGTCATGGGGACCCCGGTTTATGGATGGCGAATGTTCAAGTACAGAGGAATTTCGCTGGTAAAACAACAGAGGCGTCTTCTCAGCCTTCAATTCCGAAATATTTTTTTCGGCCCCTAAATCGATTTTATTACCAGTTCTACTTGTACCACAATGTTGCCTGGCTTTAATTTCTAGAACCTTGGTTGTAACGTCATTGAATAAATCCCACATCCAGAAACATCGTCTTAGGTGAGTCAATAGGACACGGCACAACGCAATTTCTGGAAGTTGAATTTGTCAGACTGGACAAATTGCAACAAAACTACCTTTTGAAGGCGCACGTTCGAATCACTCTAAATTGTGCAGCGAACCACCCTATTGCCAAGATTTCAGTTGGTGCTACCCAATACGACTCAAAATTGCACAGGGATATCAACTGGACCAATAGACATCAACTGTAAAGCCAAATTTGTGCAATCGCCTTACGTGAACGGATATGGTATCTTCTCTTTTTGAAGTCAAAGACTGGCAATCGCTAGCCCTTTTAAGTAATCTGACCAGCAGTCTGTGATGAATTCTTAAGTAAATGGGTGACTTTGATGTGCTGAGATTTCACACAGAGCTGCTCCGCGTCGACACATAAAGCTTCAGCGAAGCTCTGAGGTTCGTCAATTACTCGCGGCTCTCTGTATCTCTGTCTTAACATAATGTCGCTTGTAGGTATGTTGCAGTAAATAAATTGCATCTGAGAGGAGAGTGAACCAATTCTTGCCTTCAGATGACAGATTCTCTACTTACCAATAGCCAATTTCCAGCATTAATCTAGTTTATACTTACTTCCTGGAATTAAAATTTTTACTTATAAGGAAAAAAGGTACCTATTAAAAGCATGAGTGCCCTGTCTGCAAATTGGTGCTTTCGAAGACCGGGAGTTTGTAAACCAGTTGTTTTCTAAGTTAAAAGCATTAAAAAGCGTAATCGCCTTGATTAATTATCACCCTTGTCGTTTCCTGCCGGTGGGAAAAATCCATGAGGTATGTGACCGCCTTCCAAATCGAAGGAAAGGTCATAATGAGGGCCACATGCAAAATCACACATCCTGAATAAAAAAACCGCAGCAGATTCAGCAAAGCAATAGTACAGTTCTCATAAAACTTTAAAGTAGAATTCCAAGGTCCAATTTCTATTAAAACAGTCACATGGTAATTTAATACCTCGTTTTCTCGTCTTACACTATTCACAGCTCCGCGTCCGTAAATTGCTCGTGGACTACGAGAGCCACCAATTTTGTTTTCTCACAATGACCGTAATTAAAACAAAACACCTCGAGGTGTTCCACCGTTTTGAGTTCAAATAAGGGCATCTGTCTCACGGCCAGAAAAAAACTAGCGTCCTCTGTGCCTTTTAGATGCTGGTAGTACACGCGTTTCGGAGACTTTCACGGCTCTGATCAGCTGGAGCGTGTGTGGCACAAATCTAAGGGTGTTTGTTGCGCATAGACGGTAATGGAAAAACGATTAGGGGATCGACGTTAGAGGCCTTTGAAGTTGGCGGTAATTTGCTGTAAACTAAGAATGTGAGGACTGACTGACAAAGTACAAGTAAAATTTATCCCTGTAACGGTTACCTAGGGGCTTCTTAATTAGACAAAGCTAAATCGAAAGTGCTCATCCTTGTGTGTTACAGATTTCTGTGACCCGCAGATTATTGCAGCTGCTCAAAACTGGAAGGACACACTCTAAGCCCCATTGATCAGTTTTGTAGACAAGCCGATCAAGCGGTTGCAGCATTGGTAAATAGCCCAACTCTGGTCCTAAATAATTATTCCCTCCCTAAAACTTATTCGATTCTTATAATCACAGACTACAAGAATTTCAGTCTGACGTATTAGTATTTGCTATTTATTACCTAAATTATTAGACCTATTAAACACAGTTTGATAAAGTTACCATATTTAGTAACCGTGAAAATGATGTCTGCAAGCAATCAGAAGCATTCAATAGTTGAACCTTGATCTTTTTATCGAAATGCAAGAGATTGTGCACGATAAATGAGAACTTACATCGCTCAAGAAGAATCCAAACTCAGCAGAAGAGGATGAATTTCCTTCCGTGGTGCTGGTGGCTCCATCTTATGAAAGAAGCAGCCACCTGACGTGATTACCAGTATTCCAATTAAGAACAACCTGTTTAAGATCCGAATCATTTTGGCCAAAGTCGACATCGTGTTCATGTCCTTCAGCTGGTCTTTTAACCAGTGGCCATGGGAGTACTCTAAGTATTGGCTTCATGCTCTGGGTAGGAATTAAGTGCAGTTTACTGGGAACTTTGATAGTATATTTGATTGATAGAATGCTGTATCTTGACTGTGGTTGAAATCACAGCAATAGTTTAAAATAGTGAAAACGCAATGGTCTGATAACCAGGAAGCACCCGCGTTATCAAACCGATTTTAATGTGTCCTTGCAGCAACAAGAGGGTTTTAGGCGTGCACCCGGGCATAAAATTTAGCTAAAGGAGACGAAAATATAATTTTACAGGCACTGATAAAATTTCTGAACTGAACCTGATGCCGGAATAAAAGAACATTAAGACGGACTTTCGGGTTATTACACCCAGTCTTTCAACAGACATTAGGATTTGGGGCTTCGATAAAATTGGCTGTAAAAAGCAAAAGTGTTTTCAATTTGTTCGCCACATGGACAGACTTATTGATTAATACGACACAAAGGAAAGACTCAGCAAGTCTTTTGATTCCCCAATAGCGTGTCCAAAAATAGGATTAATTAAATGTGAATTTGAAATCGGTCAAGTCATTCGTCAAACGCATGAGCTTGTGGCGATCCATATGGCTGAGTAGTGTGAGCCACTAGGCATCTAAAATTAAAGACATTCAGATGAAGAAAACACAGGAAGGCTGGAATTTTGAGGATGGTTTCTTTGGCATAGCCACAGGCTTCACATTCTTGAACGTGGTGCGTGTATGTAAGCACGCCAGGGGGCCAATTAAGAAGCAAAATACATTTGATACAATTTTTAGAACAGTTAAGTTGCATGATGCCGAAATAATTTCGATGCTAATTATAGTTGCATCAGCCACTTACTCATTGGAATTAATTGCCCTAAAAACGAATGCCCGAATTTGAGAATTAAGGTTATTTTTCCGTCAACCTGATAAAACAATCAAGATTGGTTTGGAGTGTGCTGGTTAGCTATGTGAACGTGTGTATACATTTTCATGGACCTTTTAAATACAAGAATCTACAAGTCCAATCTGCCCAAAGGTGTTTGCGAGGGCTCTTTGATTTGAAAAGAACGATTTAGAGTTTTATAATTGGAATTTTAATAAAGAGGGATTCACCTTTAATTCACCTTTTGGTTACTGAAAATGCAACATCTAAGGTAGGGAGACCGTAATTATAGAAACATAATTTGTCGAATGTCTCACAAAATAGTTTGTTGCAACATTGACGGGACTCTTCATAGGCACAATCAACCAAAACCACATCAAGCAATTTTTTTATAAAGTACTCCCAATTTCTGAGTAAAAATAGTGAGGATAGCTAACAAAGACCACTATAAGCGATAGAGATTAAGCGTGCCACACAACGGCCAAACGCCTAGCTCGAAGTTCAAGCAATTTCTGCAGTAGCAACCAGATGGCTCCCGTTTTCTGCAAGAAATTGTCATTTAGGATTGAGACAACATGCAGAGACGATTCTAGTGGCAATATAGTTAGCAATTGTAGGCAGCCACTCCCTAATCAGTTTACACCCTATGAAAGGCACCACTAGGGTGTAATCAATACCAACGACCTTTACTTTGGAATATGAATTGAAATGTGCTCTGTTCCGTGTGGTTGGCTACTGTGGTCCCCTATTGTAAACTAACTTATTTGGAGCCAATGGGAGAACTGTAACTAAGCAAAGGAAAAGCTTTGGTGGCAGTAGTCAAGACCTTTAGGAACAAAATGAGTATCGTCACTAAAAAATCTGAACCTAAAAAGCGTTAATTTTGGAGCCCTGCATGGCCCGGTGGAAGTGAAACCTCCTCTGTTATGAATTGCCTCGAGGTATTGTCTTATCTCTCACGCAATCCATGAACTTTGACATTAGAGAGCTGAACAACTTTCTTTTTTTGATGTCAGGTGTGCTTCGTCATCGACACAACGCTCATGAGACGTCCACTGTAAATGGCTTTCGAGCCTCAATTTATACTCGGCAAGCACCGAGCCAAATAACTTTTTTTGCGTTTTCTATGCATTATTTAAATTTGTGAATGTTATTCGAACGTGCAAGGAGAGTTATTTGATTGGATAGTATCAAGTTATCCTAAGTTTCATTTACTATAAATCCACCTTAATTAGACAATAGAGTAGGTAAGTAAAATACCCAGTTTGCTATGAAATTGATTCAAGCAACAGATGTCTTTTGCTGTGCGATTATCTCGATCGGCTGGGATGTCAAAGCCCCTTCTCTGGATCAAACCACCATCGCCATTTGCTGATTTTTGCACAGACAACAACTGTTTGGCCATGTATAACAAAGTGCTTTAGCTATCTATTAATTTTAATTGCATAGTATTACTCACATGCTAGG